TACCCTCTACTTTGGGACCTGTAATCGTCATATCTTGGATGAGAAAGGAGCTAACAAATCTGTGGGAAGGAACAACACCAAACATAAATCAGAAGAAGGCTCATTCGACAGAGGCTTGAGCTCTTGGTGTTCATGCCCCTGCACCACATCAGCCCTTGCAGTACCAAATAGAAATAGATCACAAAATTCAGCTGGGTGTTTCTAACCTTTGTTGACTGTCGTTAATCGTAATTACTATTTGTTTAAGGTTGGCATGGCCACAAAATGTTTTGGTTTAAAAAAGTTCCAATCACAATTATCATACAAAAAATGCAAGCCTATAGTTTGATTTTGGACCATTGCAATGCATCTTTTGTCCTTTCATTGAATTAAAATGATTGGCATCTCAGAGGCCAGTTTGGTTTGCATTTCAAAAAATAGTATTCGAAAATGGTTTTTAATAAGAGTTTTAAGAAAGTGTTTTTAAAAATTTTTAGATTACAAAACCTATTTAGTTATATATTTTTCAAAATAATTTTTAAGAACAAAAATTATAAAATCTGTTTACACAATAATCACAATTCTCACCTCTCTCTTTCTTTCACCTCTCTCTATCTCCACAAAACACACTCACACACGCACACGCACAGACACAGACACACACACGCATACATAGAGGCATACACACACACGCATACACAAAACATACCCACACAGATCTATGCTCATATTTGAGCACAAATCTGTATAGATCTGTAATTGTTGTGAGAGAGAGGGAGGGAGGGAGGGGCAGATCTAAAGCACAATGGAAAGAGAAGAGAAATAGGCAAGTCTGAAACACAGTGAAGACGCCGGAGAAGCACAGTGGAGACGCTAGAGAAGAAGACGCTGGGCAAAATGGAGAAAGAAAGGAAGGGAAAAAAAAAGACGTTTTTTGTTGCTAAGGGTACTTGAAGCTGCGACCTTATTTAGCTTGTTTAGCTTGTCTCCGTATTTCCAAAATTTTCAAAGAAAACTGTGAAAACAAGTTTAACTTGTTTTCTATTTTTATGATCCAAATCTCATTTTTTTTTCCAAAAATTTGAGAACAAAATTGTTAAGCAAACAAATTTCGGATATTTTTAAAATTTTGAGAACAAAAAACAATTTTCGAATCACAAACAAAATACCCCCCAGGTTTTGCATTCTATTTTTGCAAGGAAAGTATTTAAATTGATAGTAGAATCAGATATATTTAGTGAATTAATCAAAGCAACTGATAATCTATTAATCAGTGTCCCAAGTGTCATTAGGTATGACTGCAAGTGGACAAACTACTTTTTAATGCATAATTTATGAGGGATCTATTAACTCTACAAAACCTCCAACCAATTCTCAAAGTAGAACCCAAGCTCATAGGACAGTTAATGCATCTACCTAACCAAATTCTCAAACTAGAATCCAAGCTCCTTTGTTTTTCAAAGCAAACCATCTGAAGTAAATATTTATATTCTACTTTGATAATTTCAGTTCATAAAGCCAACAATTGTTTCCTTGCAGTGTTGATTTTCAATTCATTAAATATTATAATTTTGTGTATGGATGGCAATGAAAAATTGAGTTTTTTGTTGAATGCACCAGTGTAATCGTTTGCTTAGTTTTGACAGACAAGCATACCGAAGCTTTGTTTTTTAAATCAATCCATTGTGCAACCATTCAAGAGCAACACTATGCAAATCAAATTATTTATCAAATTTTGTATCCCGAATCAATACAGATGATTGGATTACTGGGGTCCATTAACTCCACAAAATATTAAATGCATAAGATTTTAACACAGTACAAGATTTAATAAGTAAATTGGAACAATACAATTTTATCCATCATTCACTTATTCCCGAGTTATTCAAGCTTTATTTTGTTGCCTCCCTCCCTATCTCAAAGCAATGCTCTAACCTTTCTTATATTTTTATATTCACTTATTAGTTTGTTGTAGTAACAACACTCTAATTTTCCACTGATGGCCCAATAAAGTAAAAAAAAAGTAGCCAAAGATAACTTAACGTAGATTCAAAATTATAAATCAAAATTGTTCACATGTAACGCACGTGTGCATCAATTAGTAACTCAATAAACAAAAAAAAAAGAGTAAATTTTAAGAATTTTTGCTCTTTACACCCTAAAAGATGTCATGATTCCTGCTTTGTACTCCAAAATATTATTTTTGCCACATTGAACCCTGAATGTTATAAATTGGTTCCAATATGACTCTCAGATTAATATTCGTTTTAAATTCTGTTAAAAATTAATGCATTTGCCACCCATGTATGTTAGTCTTAGGCAAAAAGAAAAACTCACCATTGATGTCATTAGGTGGCATGCTCATTAATTTTTAATGGAATCTGAAACGGATATTAGTCTAAATGTCACATTTGAACCAATTTATGATATTCAGGTATAATATAAAAATAATAATTTTTCAGGGTATAAAATGGGAATCGAGATACCTTTCGGGGTACAAAGTGCAAAAATTCCTAAATTTAATACACTTCTGAAAATAAGGTTTGTTCTGCAGCATTTCCCTATTCTAACAGGCCGCCAAGCTTGTTGGAGATATGAACAAATGCTGTGAGATGTCCCATGGCAAACCATGGATACATTACTATGTGGAAGGTTTTGTCAGCCATTTATGCCGCCTATAATTGAGAGGAATTGAACAAACACAAGGGCTGAAATCTATAGAAACTCTTGGTACTATTTGGAAAATCAACATGATGAGTTCATATTTATAGAAAGGAAAATCAATACAACTTATTTCCTAAGATGGTAAGAACCTTGATGGGAACCGTCTTTCTTTTGGAGGTTGATTGAAAGTTTTTGGAGGACATGAAATCATGAGGCACACCTAACTCTGTAGATGTCACGAGGTTAACAAGTTTTTATATGAGATTTTTTCGAAAGTTTTAGTCTAGTCGGTGTAACTTTCATCGTATTAAGTAGTGAATTATCCCAATATTTGGGCTACCATATGAATGAAACAAAACAGTAAAATCCAGACATACATCATCACTATGATATGCGATGAGTGTGATAACAATATTCACACATATGGATAGTTCTTCGTCCTCAAATGAATAGTTCAAGTAATAACATAGACGAACTATAATTCTAGACGTCTTAAGTTCAAATGTTGACAATCTCTCATGGTTAAGTTATGAAGATTTATCCCTCATGAATATTCTAGTCCTAACATAGATGATTTGTCTTGAATTGAAAAAAAAATTAGTTAAAATGTATATAAATTGACCCGAAGAAACCTGCCCGTTGAAATGCCGCGTGAAGGTCTTGACAATCACAAGAGACATCAGCAACCAATGTTCAAAGTCACGTTGTCAACTGATATCCATGAGCCAAAAAGCTATAAGACAAGAGCCTTCCTTTGTCGGTCTGCCAATGACTTTCTCTTGAGACAAAGATGTAATGACACTTTAACCCCCTAAAGTTTTCAAATATCGAGACGAATTACTCCAACTCTCTTGAATAAAATTCAATTCGAACTCGACTTGTATTCTAAACAAGTTAAATTTAAATAATTTTTTAGACTCAACTCAAACTCACAAAACTCAACTCATTTATATGTAAATTAATCAAGCTATTTGATCTTGAATTTGACTCGAATTCTAAACAAGTCAAACTTGAACAAATTTTTAAGCTTGTTTATAAGCCAGACTCAAGCTTAACCTCGTAAAACTCAACTCGATTAACACCTCTAATTCTAATAACTATGCACAAGGATGATCTTTCTGTCACATAATGCTGAATATAAGATGGCATTGGAAAATGTTTATTAGCACACAAAATTAGAGGTGACAATTTTGCACACGACACAAAAATATAATTCAAAATTGACACAATTAATGGGTTAGATTTGGTTATTTCTCAATAGAAACCAGTAAATAACACGATCCATTAATACGAATAATAAATGAGTTATGTTAATGTCAAATATAAACACAAAATTGACACATCTAACTAGTATTATAAGAATAAAATATTAATTTTTTATTACATTTTATCAAGTAGTAACATAATTCTTATACAAAAAAATTATTTTTACTCATTTTTTTATTATATTCATTAAATTAATTTTTAGTTTATAGAAAAAATATAAACACAAGTTCAATTAAGCGATAATAAAATTTTAGACTTAAATACGAGGATTAAATTTTTTATTTACAAGTTATATACGTCAACACGAATGTGATACGAAAATAAATAAATCAAGTCGACACAACATAATTAGTTAAACGTGTTAAGTTAAAATTAACTAATATTCGTCACAAACCCGAAATAACATAACCCAAAACGAGAAATACTATACAAACATATAAATCTTACACTTTTCACTGGAAGATAAGGCAAGCCAAAATATCACTAAATAGTAATTGCAAAACAGCTGCAACAAATCATTCTTACCCTTTCTCCTCTATTTTCTATTATTGTGGGTCGAGGTTCACACCTCCTTGCCCGGAAAAATATTCTTTGCAACGCTAATATCAAGTCAATATAACCATATGATATCATCAATTAATAATATGTTGACAAATAAGGAAATGGACCTCACAAAAACCACTAACTAATTACCCATTTATATAGGTAGATATCTACACATTATTCTTTCGTGTAAGTCAATAACTACGTAAGTAAAATTTACTTTATCTATTTGAAATTTTATTATTAGTTAGTGATATCATATAATCAATGCTGACATAGTATCACCGTGTATTGAAAATTCTCTCGCTTGCTCCGCCCCAAGATCCATAAACACCAACTTCCCCCTAGATCCACGGTTGACAACATATATTGTTATCCATCATAAACACTTGAGCATAAGAACCAGAAAATATTAAAAACGGTCTGTATTAATATTTCAAATACAAGTTGGGGCTAGGATATTAACCAAGAAAATCTACATGTGAAAATATCTAATGTCCTGCTAAATAATATCAAACTTACCCAAGGTGGCATCCACAGGCTGTGTTCTAGTTTTCACCAACGGTTTTTGGCAGTGATAATTCAACTGGTCTGGCCAACGCAAAATAAGAATCAGGATTTACGGACATTAACAACTCCAATGCCACCACCTCCCTTGGATGACTGATGTTGAGTCTAGGTTCTATAAAGCCTGCTTGAGAAAATCCGCAATGTTAACTATAAACCTAGTCACGGGGCATAACATGGAAATAGAAGATTATAGTGGGCTGTACCAGGGGAAAGTTTTCTGCCACTATACAGCTCTTTTGCCAGGGGGTTGGCTGACCAGTTATTGACAGCCCCACGACTTGTAGGTTGGAACCCAATAATCTTTCCATCAACCGACAGAACCACCTAAAATTCAGTCACGAAGACAGAAAAGAAAATTAACACAAGGCAGGGTGAAAAAGCATAATCACAATGCATGGAGGATATATGACATCAGTTGCAACACTGCGTTACATATAGTAGCAACAAAAATCACATTTTGAGAAAGGAAATCACCCCAACTACTCAAATGCATAAATATATATAGATACATCTACATATGTCAATGAGCATGTGTATATATACACTTATATACGGTATACATATACATCTATATGTATGTGTATATATATGCCCGCGCGGGCACGGGGGGTGGGGGGGGGAGGAGAGATTTTAAGGAAGTGTGGAAATCAAATTCTGACCTTATCAGTGGCTAAATACTCAGCCCATATGTAAAACCAATAACTCATGGAAACCACATCAGCACATATCAATGTCTTAAGAAAGGAAGATATGTTTTGGAAGTCATTATACTGAAAGCATCAAAGCATTCAGTTACTGTAAAGTAATTTGAGGACATTTCCCATCTTCACTAGGCTCTGCAAGAAAATGCATGAAGGAATACACAGAAAACCAAATGGAACCTCTTGAATCAATCTTTTATTTTTGGCTTTAGTATTTACTTCTAGTTCTAGAGAACGGGCCTTTGCATAACAATAAAGTTGTCTCATTGTGACCCATGCATCATGGTACTCAAAAAAAGTATCAAGGATAGGGCTGCCTTCTTCTAGTATCATCTTCTCAATTTTTTCAATATACATGCTGTCATGCCATTCTAGTGCAAGAGAAAAGGAAACAAAGTAATTCAGTGTGTAAACCAGCCAAATTACCTGATAACTTGCAATGTCTTGTGCGGATGCTTTCATCTCTTCATCACTTTTTTCTGATGGAGCAGAAGCATATAAAATGTCTGCAACACTAGTATCAGCTTCATCTACCCTAAGGTATCTTGGAACTTCCCCAGTCCATGCACCACCACCGGGTTCTGTCATTATTTCCCCAGGCCAACCAAAACCATCCTTAATTTTTTGAACCACTGAGATGCACAGATCTTCCAACTACAAGGTATGAAAAACAAGCATTAGACATGAGCAGGTTTGATGCTTAATAGCAGTTTTTCGTCACTTCCTTTAGTATTTCGAGCATGAGTATATCATATAAAACACATATGAACACGTCATCTCATGCATGGAATCTCAGAGGTATTAACACTAACAAAAAAACAAAATATTATTACACCCACTATTAAAAAAAAAAAGCAAACATATCAACATATGTAGGATCATAACCTAGAAGCCTATTAACCTAGGTTACCATGCAATCTAAGGATACCAAGAACACTAAATTTAATCCTTACAAAACCCCCATCAAACTTGTCACAAAATACACAAGCCAATATTCAAAACTCTACGTGGCAAGACACTTGACTTGGAATCTGAACTATAAGACTTTACTTTTAGGAACTTTGACTGTAAGCTTAACAATTCTAAAACGTCAGACATATCAGGCACCTAAGCAACTTATACAACCAAAATAACACACAAGAAAAGAAGTGTATTAGTAGAAAGCTATGGGGTTTGCAATGTATTCATACCTTAGTGGAGTCCACAGACTGATGTATACATTCCACGACAGAAGATTGAAGTGAATAGTTATCTTGAGGGTTCTTCCTTCCACTGAACAAATGAGGCAAATAAAGTTGACCTAGAACACCAACCGTAACAAGAAAAAATCCACTTGCAAGGGTGATGGACAGCATTTTAAACAAGGAAGTGCTTCTCTGTAACAAATGGAACAAATCAACATAAACTCAAACACTCAATACAACAAAGGGTCTACGACTCAAGTAACTAAAAGTAAATTGAGGAGGAAAAGAAGAGAAGTGGATATTATAATAAGATACAGAAAAACAAAGAAAATGGACATGGGATATTGGAATCATTCCTAACTTCCAAGTGCGTGATAATAAAAATTAACCGCAAAGAACAAATAAAAAGTAAAGGAGCATACATGCAGACAAGTACCTTGTTAATGGACAAGTTGGTAGCTTTCGCCTCCACACCACATGACAATTCTTTATTTGGCAGTGTGAACAGATCTTCATAGTACATGTCTAGAACGTTGGCCAAACCAACCTGCAAACATATTGAATGAGAAAATACAGAGAATCATCAATTCATTAGATACTACAATCACTCTAAATCTGTATAATGACAGCATTGGAACAAAATTAAAAGTGCATAAAAAATCAAAATTATTAATTAAGTTTGATCAAATAATTATCAAGTCCATAATACTTTACTAGATAAGACTTCAATTTAAATTGAACATTGCGACACCAGAGAAAATTGATTTATGTCATTGACATTGAACATTTCTATCTTTCTTTTTGTTTTCCCTCCGGCTGAACAGGTGATGTACATATATGCAGTGCACCCTCAACTCAACAACACATCCTTAGTTTCAATAACATTAGATAGCCGCCTCAACATCAGAAATTATAAGAACATATTTAAACCTTATGCTTGGGGAGATCACATGTGGGTGAAAGAGCAGCAATCAAGCTTCCCTAAGGTTAAAAAGTGGGAATCACAACACACTTTCTGTAATGTCTCCTTCTAATCAAAAAACATTCTGACAAAGGTCTGCTTAAAAGTACTGGCTAAGATGTCTCTTCAATTATAAATTTCTTTTGTCTACCTACTCCAAACATGATAAAAACTGCATATACCACCAAAAACCTAACTGCTGAATGCCTTTGCCCATGACAGTTGAAAAATCACCACGAGTACAACACAAGAATGAAGGTCTTACTTATGTTATGCCATTAGACAGACGAACAACCAATTGGTCCAATAGAGTGGTCAAAGAGCTTAGAAAGTAATCAGTTCAAAAGACCAACTAAGCTTCTTCTGTGGTTACATGACAACAGTCTAACCATGCAGCACTTGACAAAACCATCATTGTCACAACTACTCAAACCCATCGACAACATAGTCAAAACACAACATGTCATCAATAAAAAGAGGAAATAAGAGACATAATGATTCTTCGACAGCTTCTATTTTCAACAATATTCAGTATCAGATATACGATATGCTACTGTGAAATAAAACAAGACTGCCCTGATTGTATGAACCTCGTATAATTGTGGGATTCCCTTGAGAAACTAACTACGGAAGTCCAAAAACAGAGGAAAGATTCGAGTACCATTTGGGAGTGGGTAAGTAGAACTTCCCACCTATTCTCGGCACATCTTTTCCACCCTTCAACGTTTGCATTGTCAAGTCTATTAGAATCAATTTGCAGCCTGTAGGCAGGTATATACTCGCTAGTCCAAGCACTAAATTCAGGACCACCAATCTTTTCCAATTTAGAGTGAACAGATGTAATCCACCAATTGTGTTTCCATTTTGCTTCTACAGGATTATAATCTGCCTTTTCTAAATTAAAATTTTCCAGCAGACTTCTGGCATTTGCAACCACCTCATCTTCAAGCAATTTATATAAGCTAACAGAGGAATCTTTCGATACAATCCTTTTAGGCTTGTCAAACCAATTGAACAAATTATTTGATCTGCCCGATGACTTTTTAAGGAAAAGTCTTTCGGTGCTTTCAAGAGCAAAAAGGCAAACAACTTCTGCAAGCACAGAAATGACCCGTTCATCCGAGGAGCTGAGGGTAAAAGACGGAGGAACCTGCCGATATGAAAGGAATAAGAGAACTCAACCTATCAGTATCAAGTGGCACCTGCAGGACAGACATATCAAATCTGATAAGCATCTGCAAGAAAATAAACACATACAAAAGTGAGAGCACATCTAACCTCTCTTGGGTTTTCCAGATCATCCATGTTTCTTTCTGTTCCAGGTCTAAATAATACCAGCTCAAAATTCCAAAGCTGTTGGAGAACTACTTGTCTAAATGTCATAGCAAGAATATTTTTAGATGTTGTGCTGAACAGGATATCTTCAGTTAGAGAACTTTTGAGCTTTTTTGCTTTTTCTTTAACTTTCCTTGCCGGCAAAAACTGTCAAAACATCAAGCTTCAGATAATATCCATTCTCCAATAAAAAATAATTGTCATCCACACACATATATAATCAACAGCTAAAGCTCATGGGCATTCCTCGGAGTTCAATTTTTCCAAAATTCAAAATCCCATAATACTAATGTCCGGTCTAAAATTCACAAATCTTTGGCCATATTCACTACAAATTCAGCCTAATTTTCACCGAGTTAACCAAATTAACTTAAAAGAGGCATTTTTCTCCAAATTTCACCGCATATTTCGACCACACACACAACCGCACATATATAAGCTTAAAGAAGCAGAAAATGAACTGACCAGTCGAGTCGAGACGGTGCTGTGCTCATCCAGAGGTCCTGGAAAGACAGTCTCAACAACCATAGCATCCATTCCGGAATCAACGTGCTCTGCGGCGGCTTCACCTCCGTCCGCCGCAGCCGCCGTGAGAGCCTGCTCAAAATCGACAGCTCCGACCAGCGTGAGCCGAGCCAAATCATTCTCGTACGTCCTCACACCTGGAAGACTCTTGTCCCCTGAGTTCGCAACGGCTTGAAGTATGTCTTGCTCGGAAGCCGATATAGACGGCTTAGCTGAGTAAGCAAGGACAGGGAGGGAATTTCCAATGGTTCTGAGGGGTATTTTAGGGAGGAAAATACGTTTTGTAGTGGGAAGAAAGCGGTGTACAGAGGAAAAGGGAGGGGTGTGAAGAGGGAGAGATTGAGAGGACGCCATGGATGAGTGTTTCGAGCTCTGAAATGGAGCTAGGGTTCTTGCAAGACGGTGTTTTGGGTTTATTGGGCCGCCCGAGGTTTGCGCCAATAAATAGAGTGCACGTCATAACAAGCCGAGCTATTTATCGAGTCGAACTATTTAACTTCGATTTAGGTATACCTTGTTTTCAGGTCTTTTAAGTTAAGTGTGTCTTTTTTAAATTCATTTGAAAAACGAGTTTGATGGTGTGGTCAAAGAGATGAGCTGAACTTGTGGATCATACGAACAAGTGTGGGTCTGAGCTAAAAGACTTGTGCAAACAATGACAAGGTTTTTTTTTAAGGAATCTTGAAAATAAAACACAGAATAACTACAGTAGTTAACCGACTTTAGAGCCCAACTAATTCACTATTTAAGAGAGTTTCCTGCTCTTTTTATTTTTATTCACGGTGGATATGATTTACAAAGTATCATCTATGGTATTAGGTTTTTCTTGCCTCTCAAAGAGACACTGTACAGTATTTATAACACAGTTTGTATCTCCAAGGGATCTGCAGCTAGATCTTTGCTCTTCATCTGCGGGACTTTCCTTGATTTCAGGAGGGAATCTCGGGTGGTTGAGAGTTTCACGCCTTGATCACTACCCTTTAGCTGTTCTGTGGGCTACTAACCAACTGTTCTTTCCTTGGCTCCTCTGATGTCTCATCAGAGAGGAGCTCGGGAATTGGGCTTCAAAGCTCTGAGCTTCCTGTCTGACCTCTTTGTCTAACCTCCTTGTTTGACCTCGCTTCTCGTGCTCATACTTAGTTAAAATTCTTATTCATGTATCATCAGTTGCCCCCCCAGCCATTGGTTCAAGCTGGCTTGGACAGGGACTGAGCTGCACTAAAGCTGGTCTGTATCATGCGTCGACCTCGATTTGCGCATCCAAAGGGTTCCTTTTGACGGTTCCCAACAATCATGTTCTCCTTGATTCCCGTGCACGTCCACTTAGTACCGTTAACTTTAAATGCCACTGAGTTGAGGGGGAACGGTCCTTACTTCGCTCTTTTAATTCTCTTCCTAGGCTCTTCTCCTTTCTTGCATATCCCCTGTTTCCCCACTCCACTAAAGATTTTAGGGTTTTGTTGAATCTCATCATTTCTCCAATTGGCTTGTGAGGCTTGCTCTTTATTTTTCAGTGAGGAAATTTTGGTCTGTCATCCACCCTTGATTAGGTATGTTTCTTGTCCCTTACACATTTCTTCGTTCTAGATCCCTCAAATTTGAGATGATTATTGCATTTCTGGACCTTTCGATTCTGCTACTTTAAGAATCGAGGCTTTTCTTTGTTTCGTCTTCCCCTTTTCTTAGATCCTTACTCTACCGCTAGAATATTCATCATTGGTCACTGGAGTTTTGCCCTTGACCCTTAAGGAGTGTTTTTCAAAGGTTCTTCTTCTTTACAAATCTTTTAAACTTCCTTTCTCCTGCCTAGTTTTGTCTGCCTCTTCCGAAGCTACCCCCTCCTCTGTTTCTCTTCTGGGAACAGGTCCGCTGAGGAGGATTTCGATTTAGGTGATGTGGGTGAGGAGATTGACAAATTCTCCAGTGTTGATTCTATTGATGCCGAGGGAAAAACTAAAAAAATTCCCCCATCAGCCTCCCCTATGCCCGAAAACCCTAACAAAGGTAAGGTCAAAGTGAGTGGCGTTGGAATCTCAGGTAGCGCTGAGGATGCAGGGGCTGCTTTTAGAACTGCAGAACTAATGGGCTCTAGTGAGGTCTCTCCTTCCCTCGTGAAAATTATTAGTGCTCGTTTTGGCTTTTCTTTTGGTGTCCAATACTGGCACCTAGATAAATTCACCTCATACGTCTCTTTGGTTCACAAGAAGGTCTATTTTTTTGTGGCTACCTTTGAGAACCGCCTTCGCTTTCCCATGCACCCATTTATCAAGAATATTTTGCAACACTTTAACGTCTACCTTGCTTAGCTCTCCCCCAACTTCTGGGGTCTTTTGGTGGGTCTTCTTGTTTTCTTTAGGAAATATAAACTTGGGGTTCCCACTGTCTCTTTGCTTATGGAGTATTTTAATGTTAAGTACACCCCTTTCGATGATTTCTTGTATATTTTCAAACGAGTTAAAGCCAAAGTGATCATCTCTAACCTCTCAAGCTCCCACAAGGGCTAGAAAAAACTTTTCTTTTTCGTGGGGTACAATCAATGGGAATACAATCCTGCAGACATCTCAGATCCTCTTCTCATCCCTCGGGCCTGGAAAGCCCCTGATAACTTGGGTATGTCATTGTCTAAGTGAGCTAAGATCAGCTTTGATGGCTTTTTGTGTTGACCTCTTTTTGATTTTCTTATTCTACTTCTAAAGTATTCGACCTGAACTCAGGGCTACAAATAAACAGGTTTTGTTGTCCTTAAAGGGTTGTAATTCAGAAAGGTACTTCGAGCTCATCAAACCTTGGGTTCTCGTAACGCAAGGGTTTAGTCTCCCAAAGGTAACGATAGAATCCCCGATTCCCCTCTCTGTTGTTAGCGCAGAGGAGGTAGTTAGTAATACCCTGACCTTTCCATCTCTGGCTTCTCCCCTTTCTTCTTGCACCTTGCTTATATAGTTAGGTTTAGGTTTTTCTGCACGGAGGAGGTAGGTAGTTAGGTTTTTCTGCGATGAAGTCTTCTGCAATAGAGCTCTAAGCTAAACTTTCTCAATAAAAAAAGACTAGGAATGGTGGCAAACAGAAGGCTGAGGTTGGCTCTGGCAGCGAAATTGTTCCTCCAGCCAAGATACCGAAGACGAGTGTGGCCCCTAGCTCTCCTGTTTCAACTCAAACCTTAATCAGTCAACCTTCGCCCACTCCGCAAGTCGTAAAAGGCGATCCTCTTGCTCCCAGCGAGGTCCTTGAGCAAGGGCAGACCTCCCCCTCTTCTTTTGAGGTTGACAGGGCCTTGGGGATGATTACCCATGTACTGCCAGCCTCCAGCTCTCCAGCGACAATTGAGAAGTTTCCCCTTGTCACACCATACAAGCTCCAGAATTAAGAAGGGAAAACTCCCCAAAGTGGAAAATGACCAGGGCTCCTTTTTTGACAATATCGAGCTCGCTGTTGGGGCCATTAGCTCTATTCTTCCTGAATATGGCATTCAAAGAGCCTCCTCCATGCCTCTTGAGATTTCTATCAGCTCAGCTCTCCATGGAGTAACTGTTATAAATACCTATCTCTCTCCTTTTTTTTCTTTTCTTTTGTATGCTACAAACTGATGTTGACCTTTGTTTTCTTTCTACCTACTCCCAGCTAGGCCTCCACGTAAAGGGTTTGATGGGCAAGATCCAATTTTTGGAGGGCTCAACCAAGGTTACGAAGGCCTACGAGCTCAAAGTTATTGAACTGTCATTTAGTAATGAGGATCTTTGCATTCAGAACTAGGACCTTCAAAAATAGGTGGAAAGGCAAGTCTCTATTATCCGAGATCTAGAGGCAGGGAAGGAGAGGGCTAAAAATGAGAAGAAGAATATCAGAAATGAGCTTAAGCTTAAGAATGATGCTTTGGTCAAAGCTTGTGAGGAAATCCTCAATGCTCTACGCTCTTTCAAGAGCATGAAAAAGGAGTATGACAACATGTCAGAGGTGAACGATGTCATCCGCAAAGAGCTTGAGGAGAAGGAGACCACCATTATCTAGAAGGATGATACAATAACCAAGCTAAGGGATGATGTTTCTATGAAGTGGGTCACTAGATGGCTTGTTTTTCAAGACCTAGCTGAAAAAATATACCCTGGTCTAGACTTTGATTTTGACATCCCTCCTGAGGAGGAGGCAGAAGGAATCACAACAGAGGGCAAAGGCAGCGCCTTGGAATCCCCTGCTGATGAAGTTCCATCTAGTTGTGTTTCAAATTCTACTATGCCTGCTGAGGTCATGGATCAAGGTGTTCCTCAACTTGAAATCACTTCTGCAGCTCTCCTTCCTGAAGTAGATTTGGTTCCCGTAGTCTCTTCTGTTGTTTCTGTTGCTTCCCCTTTCTCAGCTGATCTTGTTTCTAGGGCTCTAGCCTTAAGTTCGCTATCATTTGAGGTTCCTGTTTCTGGGACCCCTGAAACTTCTCCTCCCTTGCCTACTTCAGGGCTTATGGGGGCTTCAACTGTTGATCCACCAGGAACATCAACTGCTGCCCTTCCAAAGGCTTTATCTTCTGATCTGCCAGAACTGTCTACTACTAAGCTGCTAGGCTCTCCTTCTCCTGCTCCTACTACAGAGACTTAAGACTCTCCTTTTTCTCCCTCTCTTTTTTTTTAAACTTTTGCTGGGAAGTGTACCTACATGCCTTTTAATATACATCTATGCTACCTTCCTAAGTTACTGAAGTAACTGTTGAATACACATTGTTTCTATAATTGCTTAATATAATTTGATCTGCTCTCTGAATCACTGTAATTTTTGTGTATCTAAATTTTTTTATACTCCCNGAGCCTGGAAAGCCCCTGATAACTTGGGTATGTCATTGTCTAAGTGAGCTAAGATCAGCTTTGATGGCTTTTTGTGCTGACCTCTTTTTGATTTTCTTATTCTACTTCTAAAGTATTCGACCTGAACTCAGGGCTACAAATAAACAGGTTTTGTTGTCCTTAAAGGGTTGTAATTCAGAAAGGTACTTCGAGCTCATCAAACCTTGGGTTCTCGTAACGCAAGGGTTTAGTCTCCCAAAGGTAACGATAGAATCCCCGATTCCCCTCTCTGTTGTTAGCGCAGAGGAGGTAGTTAGTAATACCCTGACCTTTCCATCTCTGGCTTCTCCCCTTTCTTCTTGCACCTTGTTTATATAGTTAGGTTTAGGTTTTTCTGCACGGAGGAGGTAGGTAGTTAGGTTTTTCTGCGATGAAGTCTTCTGCAATAGAGCTCTAAGCTAAACTTTCTCAATAAAAAAAGACTAGGAATGGTGGCAAACAGAAGGCTGAGGTTGGCTCTGGCAGCGAAATTGTTCCTCCAGCCAAGATACCGAAGACGAGTGTGGCCCCTAGCTCTCCTGTTTCAACTCAAACCTTAATCAGTCAACCTTCGCCCACTCCGCAAGTCGTAAAAGGCGATCCTCTTGCTCCCAGCGAGGTC